TTTTTCCTTTTTTTTTTTTTTAAATGGAAAAGGGCTTTACTTGCAGCGCAAAAAAAGTTAACAAAAAAAAAAAGGATTGGCCTCGGAAAGGTTGAATTGGGGTGGTCATAGCCGTGTAGACAATGCTAACAAAAACACAGCAGCAACCTATTATTCCGATGATTTTCAAGTACTAAAGAAAAAAGTCATCACCTCTTCCGCACTCTTTCCATATCTATACCTGCTGTTCATCTTCTTCTCGTCAAAATTAATGGCGGCCTAACAGAACCCATAAAATTTCTCAAAAAAAGTCCCAATTCATGGAAATAAAGAAACCCTAATCCCTGTTGTTCTGTTCGTATTTGTGTAAATATATATATAAATATTCACTTCTTTCCTCGAGTAAGAATTATCGTGGGCGAGATCATTGCAGATCTGGGCTTGGATCAATTCGGTAAGGTTTTTATTTAGGAAATTTAATTTTATTGTAGATTCATCAAGAACTTTTGATGGATTTCGTTCTAAATTTTGTATTTTTCAATTTTTTTTTCTCTTCTTGTTGTTGGTATTTTTTTTTTTTAGATTTTTGATTATAAAGTTGTGTGATTTTGGGGTTTTGAATTTCTGGACTTGTAGGTTAATTGTTTGTCTTTTTGAGTTTTTATAATCGAAAAGTTTGGTGTTTTTGACTAAGTTTTTAATAAAAACCAATTATTTTCCAGTCATGCGTTTGTCTGTATGTATATCTGGATAAACCTTGTGTTGATTTGTGTGCATCCTCTTATTCCTGCTGATTTTTAATAGTTGACATTGATTTTGGGGTTTAGTTACTGCAAGTTTGGTTTGATATTTTTGTTATGTCCTTTGGTGGTACAACTTGATTTGAAACAGATTTGTAATAAATTTATTTAGCTAATAACAAGTTGCAAAATACGAAATATGAATCCTGATATTCGTGACGCCTTTGAGGATGTATCACGATCTCGTGTTTGCTTTAGAGGATGAAATTCACACGTGCATTTTTTTTCTTTGGAGGTCTGGTTCTTGCTTCTTAGCTTTTTGCCTGTCTTGTTTGCAATTGATAATGTAAATTTTTATTATACTGTGAAAATTGGGTAATGCCATGATTGTCAGTATCTAGGTTTGGGTAATGATGAGATTCGAGTTTGACAAGTGTTTATAATATAAGTGTTAGCATATTTAGGTATGGCCGTATGGAAAATGCCAGGGGTTCAATTTTGACAAGTGGGCAACGAATAACTGATGTCTTTTACATCTGTGAGGCAAGGACTTAGCCTCGGTGTGTTTTGAGGTGTAAACCATGCAAACACATAAAATAATTCAGTATAAATAAAAATTTGACAATACATTTATAATAAACCATAAGTCATTTCAAAACTTCATAATAAACAAATTGTCTTATCAAAAAAAACTTCATAATAAACAAATTGTCAAAATTAAAGGTGTAGCTTGCAATCAAAAATTAAGGCCCTGTTTGGGAGGGATTAAATTTTTCTACAGTAAATCAATTCTCATTTTCAACCATACATTATTCAATAAAATAATATTTTCCATCACATCAATAATTTTTTCTTCTTTTTCAACCACACNTTTTTTCTTTTTTTTCAACCACACATCTCCCATCATATTACTATTCAAAATCAATTCTTCTCCCAAAAATCTCTCCCAAACAAGCTCTAAGGAAATCAGTATAAAGCAGAAAATAATAAGTTTCAAATTATTTATCATGTAACAATTTTGGAATCCGGATTATCTCAGATTTTTAAGTAAATCTTCAACATATTTGATTCCCTCTCATCCTAATCACCACCATCAATTTCTTCTTATTCTTTGTTATCACTTATCACTTGGAATAGTGTCTTCCCGTTAAAAGGCAGAAACGAGAAAGTGCTTGTTTGGGAGAAATTATAATCTCCTTATAATTTGATGTCAATGTCAAACGTTAAGTTTAATGAATTAATCACGCATTCATAACTACTAGCTACTTATTATCCACAAATTTTGTGGACTCACTACTCATTTTCATTATGATCTTTTCCAAACAAGCAAAGAAATAAAAACTGGTAAAACGTTCTAGCCTGTAAAAAAATAGCCAAAAAGTTGATATAATAATAAGTTCGTAAAAGGCAAGACAAATGAGTGCACACCGTAATGCCTGTGAGGCATAACTCTCAGGATTTGATGCGTAAGCCTAAAAAATGGCACTAAAGGCGTATGCTTTAAGGCTTATCATGAAAGCCTGATGTGAGGGGTGCCTCAAGGCATAAGTATCAAACAACTTTTTGAAAGAACTGACACAAATGAATTGCAAGTCTATACCATTCATGGCGGTGTGATAAGATTTGTTTCAATTTGCTTCCTTGGTTGCAAGACCTCCTCCTGTGTTTTGATTTTCTTGAATTAGGAGAATTGTGCGTTCATTGCAATAAAGTTATCCTTTGCTTTACCGATGTGAACTATACGTATCTTTTAACCTTCGCAACAGTTTAATTGAGAAGTATTTTACACGGGGCACAGTGTCACTCCTAATATTGACATTTCCTCTCAATGTTATCGAGCTTCTCAGTTTTCTGGCTACTTATTCTGGTGATGTTATGCCTTTTTGTACTACTTAAGTCTGTAGTTGTTGACATTACCTTATAAATGCATAATAATGCTACAGAAGATTATTGTGGTTCGATTTACTATTGGTTAGAATTTATTACTTCTTGACTACAGAGTTGCTTTTCTTACTTGAATTCCAGATGTATATCAAGTAACTTAATTTTTTTCCCCTACCTTTGTGTGCTTACTAATAATAGATGTTGAAATCTTGCATTATACTTCTTGCACATTAGTGATTGAGAGGCTATACTGCAGGCAATTTCTTGTGGATTAAATGTTATATGTTGCATCTGAAGTCACATACTTTTGCTTTTGATGGATTATGACCATTCCATTCTGATGGATGATGATAAAGAAAATTCAACAAGGGAGCATGTTCAGCGTCTCTTCAACAAGGTATGCATGTGCATCACTCGTTTAAGTCTTATTATCTGCTGGATGTTGATCTGGCATTGTGCATTTTCATTGTTATTCACGTGTATGCAAATCCATGTAACATATAGAAACAGGCTAAAACACCGTAATAATTCTTCTTTTTTCAGAACATTAACTGAATGATTGCCACTTTTTCTTGTCCAATCTGGTGGTTTAAAAAATATGTCATTGTCATGATTGCACAGTACTCTTCAATCAATTATGTTCTCTTGTCCTGAGTTTTGTTTCACTATAGAATGTTGAGTTGGAGAACAAGCGTAGGAAAGCAGCACAAGCCAGAGTACCTTCAGACCCAAATGCGTGGCAACAGATGCGTGAAAATTATGAAGCCATTATCCTGGAGGACCACGCTTTCTCTGAACAACACGACATAGAGTATGCTTTGTGGCAGTTGCATTACAGGAGGATTGAGGAGCTACGGGCACACTTGAATGCCGCTCTAGCTTCTTCAGGATTAGCTGCTTCTCAGAATGGGAAAGGTCCAACTCGAGGGGGACCTGATCGAGTTTCAAAGCTCCGTTCCCAGTTTAAGACTTTCCTTTCAGAGGCCACTGGGTTTTATCATGATTTGATGTTGAAGATAAGGGCAAAGTATGGTCTGCCATTGGGATATTCTTCTGATGAACCAGAGAATCAGATTTCCATGTCTAAAGATGGAAACAAATCTTCTGAGGTGAAAAAGGGCTTGATATCCTGTCACCGCTGTTTTATTTATCTGGGGGATCTTGCTCGTTACAAAGGCTTATATGGGGAAGGTGATTCTAAAGCTCAGGCTTTTGCAGCAGCATCGAGTTACTACTTGCAAGCTTCTTCACTTTGGCCTTCAAGTGGTAATCCTCATCATCAGGTGAATCCTTTGTGGAATTGTCATTTTGGTTTGCTATTACAACTTTTTAGAGCCTTCCATTGCTTATTTCTAGTTTTACTTTTTGGTTTTTCATATTTAACTTGGAGTTATTCCCTCTAATTTTCAGCTTGCTATACTAGCATCATATTCTAATGATGAGCTGGTCTCCATCTATCGCTATTTTCGAAGTCTGGCAGTTGAAAACCCATTCGTCACTGCACGGGATAACTTGATCATTGTATTTGAGAAGGTAAAAATTCAGTAGATGAACAAGTGTGACAGTTTAAAGTATATAATACATGTCTTTGGTGATTTTAAACTTATTGTGTTGAAGTTTTTTCTTTGTATCACTGTAGTTGATAGTCTTTTTATTAGTACGGCAGATGACAATTACATTCTGGAAGATAAAGATTCTGCACTTTCCTTCCCTAGTCTCACCTATCCATCTGGAAGGTAAAGATTCATCACATAGACAACAAGTGGAAAATGGCTATTGTATAAACTTCTTCAGGAAGCTGGTGTTAATTGGGCATTCTTGAGCATGTGTAATGGAGTAATATTGAAAATACGATTGTGTATGGTAAGGGTAGAAAAGGTGCAATCACGTGGAAAGCGATAATTTCGGCTATTTTTTGGTTGATCTGGACAGAGAACCTCTAAGATCTTTGAAGGAAAAGATCAAGTTTTTGAGTTAAGAGAGATCTAGATTTCAGGCAATGGACTTCTAGAGATGAGGAATTCAATGGCATACCTTTCTCTTTAACCATACTTAGTTGGAAAATATATTTTATTCGTGAATGACTTTAATTTGTTTTAGTTAGTTGGGTTCCCTTATCCTCTACAAGATTGTACTTACGATTCTATAATTATCAGACTCACTTTTCTTATAATAAAAAACGTGTTTAAGGCCTTTCTTCCATAAATCTGGCATACATTCTAATTATCCTAACTAACATTCCAAGAGTTTTTCATTCGTCAACAATTCTATATTTTCAGAAGAGGAAATGTATGGATTGTAGAATGTGGTCTCGGGATCTTGAGATTTGCAGGTTTTGAGTCTGTTACAATAGAAATCCTTGAATTGAGTTTCCTTTGTATGCAGCAAGATATGCCCATAATTGTTTTTGGTATATTTTTAATGTTTTTGGTATATTTTTAAATGCGATGCTACCTTGCTATGAGCATGCAGTAAGTTAGCTTGCTCTCAGTAAAACTGTAAGCATTCATGACATAGCTCTCATTCAGGAGTGAAATTTATGTTTTTATGCTGATTAAGAACAAATGTACTAGAACTTGCCATTTAGCGGAAATTGATTTTTGGGAGGAATTGTTTTCTTGCCTTGATTCTTTAATATGTCTGCATCCTCTCTTACAACGTGGCTTCACCACTCCTATGGTCTCATATTTAGTTTTCCTCGATTTGACAGAATCGGCAGAGTTATACCCAACTACTTGGTGATGCTAAAGCTACTTCAGTCAAGACCGTATCTTCCCAGATGCCTGGGAAAGGGAGAGGCAAAGGTGAATCAAGGCCTTCTATTAAGGATGATAAGGTGGATTCAAGTGCAGTCAAGGAACGCGTATGTACTGCACCTGAAGTCTTCAAAGCCTTCAACATTCGATTTGTTCGACTAAATGGCATTCTCTTTACACGTACAAGGTCTTTTCCTAATTTATTACTGTGTTTTATATATTTGGAGACCACTATAATTAATCGCTGATGCGTATCCAATTGCTATGTTTAACCAGCTTGGAAACTTTTGCGGAAGTCTTCTCGATGGTTAAAAATGATTTGTTGGAACTCCTTTCCTGTGGGCCTGACGAGAAATGCAACTTTGGCTCGGATGCAGCTGAGTGTAGGCTTGCAATTATCAGGCTGGTGGCCATCCTTGTTTTCAGTGTTCACAATGTAAAAAGGGAAAATGAAAATCAATCATATGCTGATATTCTACAGCGCTCAGTTCTGCTTCAAAATTCATTTACCGCTGTCTTTGAATTTATGGCCTGCATGCTTGAAAGATGTAACCAGCTAACAGATCCCTCGTCGAGCTATTTATTACCTGGGATTATGGTTTTTGTGGAGTGGTTAGCCTGTTGTCATGATGTTGCAGTAGGCAGTGAGATGGAGGAGAAACAAGTGAATGCCAGGTCTGTTTTCTGGAAGTACTGCATTACCTTCTTCAATAAGCTTATATCAAATGGATATATGTTTCTTGATGAAGATGAGGATGAAACATGTTTCTCCAATATGAGCAAATATGATGAAAATGAGACTGCTAACCGTCTTGCATTGCCTGAGGACTTCGAATTGAGAGGATTTCTTCCTCTTCTTCATGCCCAACTCATCCTTGACTTCTCAAGGAAACCTTCTTTTGGAATTGATGGTAGCAGTAAGGAGAAGCAAATCCGCATCCAGAGGATTTTTGCAGCTGGAAAGGCTCTTGCTAATGTCGTCCAGATTGGGCAGGAGGGATTTTATTTTGATGCAAAGTTGAAGAAATTTGTAATTGGTGTTGAACCTCAAATTTCTGATGATTTCGCACTCATGGGTTCTTTTGAAGTTCCGAAATCTAATGGTAACACACAAGGAATTTCAGTTGTGTCTCAAATGTCTCTGGGTGCTATGCAGCCAGAGCCACATGTTAGTATGGATGGAGAGGATGAGGATGAGGTGATTGTGTTCAAGCCATCTGTAACTGAGAAGCAAATAAACGACTTTGCTTCAAATATGACTTCTGAGGTTGCTTCTGGTGCGGACAAGTTTGATTTTGGAAATGAAAATGGATCACTTCATGAAAGTTTCCTCTGGCATAATGCTTTAAGCACCGGCATGAAGCCACCTGCAAATATTGCTAACAGCGCTGCCCAATATCTGCGTCCAGTTCAACCCAGCACTCCACAGTGGCTGGTAGAACAAGCTCCTGTAGTTAATGGATTTTCACACTTGAATGTAATGGAAAATAGACCTGCCATGAAATCTCATCTGCAAGATCATTCAAGAATTTCTCAGGCTGCTGCCCTTTCTGTTCCCTATCCACCTTTTGTCAATCCTGATGCAGCTCATAGTTATCCCATTCAGACCCCTCAGACTGCTTTATCATCGAAGTTTGATTCCATTATTTCTTCAGGAGCAGCTGCTGATGGTCTGTATGTGAAACCAACTTTGGTCGTGTCAGCAGGCTTGAAGAAAAATCCTGTGAGTCGACCTGTTAGGCATGTTGGTCCTCCACCTGGCTTTGGTTCTGTGCCTTCCAAATTTGTGGATGAGTCAATGAATAGTATGACCTTGAAAAATGAAAATCCTCCAATTCCACAAATGGATGATTATAGCTGGCTAGATGGATATCAGTTGTCCTCGTCAAATCAAAGTCTTGGATTTGACCATTCCATTAATAATTCAGGGCTGATGTTCGGTTCAGTGAGCAAGAATAATAGTTCAATGGGGATGTCAAGCTTCCCTTTCCCTGGAAAGCAAGTCTCCACACTGCAAATCCAGGGTGAAAAGCAGGGCCATCGGTTTTCTGAACATATGAAGGTGTATCAGGAGCAGCAGCAGCAACTTCAGAAAGGAGACCAAAAATCTGTTGCACTGCCTCAGCAGTATCAAGGACAACCTCTCTGGGAAGGTCATTTCTTTGTGTGACCCAATTTAGGGAGTATTGACGGTAGGCTGAATCCTCTCTCAAGCTCTTTCCCCTTCATATTTTGACCTTCTTTCTTTTATCATATTAGATAAATTGGCGCACTGACACATTTATTTATTCTATTTATATTATTTTTTTTTTGGAGGGTCGGGGGAGTGGTCCAAACCGTACTGTTTAAATTTTCTTCTATAACATTTTTTATTTAATTGCTATGTATTAAGGTAGTGGACATGGGGCTATTCTTTCTGCCATTGTGTGGTTGGTTTTTGCTGTGTTGCGGGCACTTGCTGTTGAACAGGTTTGTCTCTCCCCTCCTTCCTCTTTTCGGGTTTTAGAGTCTCGACGTGTTGGTCAATTGTTTGTTTAATTTTGTCTCTCCCATTGTGTTTGCAGCTTGTGCCATGTTCTTAAGACTGGTTGAACGGTGCTTCTGATGTCAATAGATTCGCTTGAGTACCTTGTCTAGTTGGATTGGTTGGACAGATCTCTTCAGGGATATCAGCTTTTGGTGGACAATGTAGATGGAATCAAGGGAATTACTAGCAATTTTCTACCTGGCGGTGAAGGACTTAGTTCCCCCCGTACGTGCCATGATAAGCAATTTCAACAGCTAAACTTTTAAGGTAGATTATCGGCGGTCACAAGTTTCTGCCTCAAATGATATATATGAAAGATCCTGAACAAAGCTTCCTTAATAATGGTAATTATTAAACGTCTCGTATATTAGATGGGAATAATTGTACCATACTTTCATGCTTTGTTATTTAAACTTTTTATGGGTGATGTTTTAGTTGCAAACACAAGAACTTTCTTTATGGATGTTCTCTCTGTATGAAATAAATACTCTTGTTATATTTTCATTTTGGAATTGCAATGGTATTATATCATATTTTGCTAATGCCTTACAGTTTGAATATAAATAAATATTTTCTTAACATTTCCATTTTGTGCCAAAGGTGGAATGAAGAGTTGTACAATTATGACATGTCGTTTTGTAGGGACGATTGGATAACATTGAACGGGATTAATGAAGGATATGAAGCTAAAATCCTGTTTATTATACTGTATACTTTTGTTCAGTGTCACAGAACTATATACCTGCACTTGGTGGTTATATTTGGTTGGTCAAAAGCAAATTTTCACTGGCAATTTCTTGTTTTTTTGTTTTTAATGGTCTAATACTTTTGTATTCTAAACTTGTGTTACGCGTTTAATGAATTTAATATTTGTATAAAAATAATTGATCAATGACGAAAGATCATTTTCACTTACTGTATCTCGTCATGTAAATTAAAAATAATAATCGTGTTTGTAGATAATACTTAAAACTGTGAACCTCTTAGTTAACCTGTAACATGTACACTATCCCCACCCCCGCTAGCTTGGGTTTTGGAGGGATCATACGACTCCATTTTTGGAGGGATTATACGATACCTTCGTTCAGACGTCAAGTTCTCCTCTTCCCTTCCATGTCAATGGATGTCTTCAAGTCTAGCTTTCATGATTAGGGTTTAGGAGAGAGAGAGAGAGAGCATTAAGGCAAATCAATATAAGCATTCTTGAAGTCTAGAAAAAATAATTTTAAGAAGGTTGAATATTCTGTCTTCAGATGTTGTTTTCTATCTTCCCATTGGGAGGCAGCACATGAAGTTGCCACCCAAGAACTTGTTGAGTTGAATGAGGCAGCACATGATGTTGACACCCAAGAACATGCCGAGTTGAATGAGGCCTTCGGGGGAGAAGAGTCGAATGCTGGAGATGCTGGGTACGGGAAGTAAGAAACAGACACCACTAGCACAGCGATCTCATCAAACATATGGGTTATATAAAACGAGACCATTTAACATCGTAAAGATGATAAATAAACTTAATTAGCATTATTAATACAACATATCAATCCCCAAACAAATTGAAAAAAAAATTAAATCTGCTTCAACCTGATCATATTTTGTTAAGTTTTGCAAGCAGAAAAACAGTAGCAGAAGTGACAGCAGGAATGAAAATTTCATTTGGAATAGCTTTTGGTATTAATACTTGCTTAATGAGTAGTGCTGTCGATGGAACTCCAAATATGTAGAAGAATATATCTTTTGCACCAATTCCAGTAACTCCTGTGTCCAAAACTATATCTTGAAGGATTTTTTGAAACTCCTCTTTTGTCAAGGTTTTTTCTCCTTTCTTGTGATGTTTCTGAAAATTATGATTAATAGGAAAAAAGTCAATTAAACACAAAAAATACATATGCAGCAAATCAATGGACTCAGAATAGTACGTTCGGCTATGCTTAAAATTAAGCATCTTTCAGGTGTTTATTTAGGTAGTTTCGTTGAAAAAACATGCTTTTAAGCAGGACTAAATACGCTATCAATGAATTTGATAAATGCAGTATCGAACATGATAACGAAAGAAAATTCATATTCCTGACTCTAAATATTTGCTGGTTGTAGACTTGTGCATGACTATACATACATATTTCGGTCTTTTAACTTAATCTTCTATAAACATTGTCATCATACGTTAGACTTGATATTACTAGCTAGTTAGACAATATTAAGAAAAATAAATGAAGTTAAGAATTAGTGTATACTACATAGAAACTTTACCTCGTATGCCTCCTCAAGTGTGTTAGTTTTTGGCACCCGAAATGACGTGCTACCGATTTTTTTGTTAATGTCCCTAAAAAAAAAAAAAAGACAAATAATTTGGAGAATCGTCTTCTGGTAAAAAAAAATTGTTAAATAAAGCTGCATTGAAATGTTCGAAAGAGAAGTGAAATACTCGACTGCTTGGCAAACTGCATGGTAGAAGTCAGGTAAGCTCCCAAATTTTTGGTTTTTAAAGTAGTTTTCATAGCATTCTTCAATGATGGATTCAATTTCGCTAATTTTGTTCTCCCCATTTCCTGCACAAAACATAAACACATAAGATTAATCGATAAGTTGTACCAAGAATTAGATAAACGACACGCACGATATTATAGATTCAACTATTTATCCAGTACTACTTACAGCAGTAATAACACAAAATAATTGAATAGTGATTCGCTTTTTATGTGAGCTACTTCGACTTGCTACTAAATACTATTGTAGGTTCGGTGAATAAGAGAACTGCAATCTGTTTGAAAGTGATCACGTCTCTCTACCAAGAAAACATGCCACCATTATATAGAAGGAACCGTAAGAGCAAAATCTATGATAAATATGCGAACTACCCAATATGTTCTTATACGATTGAAAATTTGCACAGAGATGCGCATAGAGAAGGAGAGACAGTACCCATTTTCTTGAGGGATTGACCCATCTCATGCAAATTTTTGCAAGATATTAGCAGACTTGAAATGGAAAGAGGAGTTTTATGAGGACTTAACACATGGGAGAAAAGTTGGATTTTAGATTTCTTTAAAATCAAGAAAAGAATTTTTGATGCTTCTATCCATGTGATACATGGATATGTAAGGGAGGAAGTGTTGGCCACTAAGCAAAGAATGGAATTATGGGATTATATAAGAAGATTAATTAAATTGAAAGCATAGTAATTAACTTGTCGTGTCGATTTCTTTTTTTTTTTTTGCCTTCATTGATCACGATTATTAACGATGAATTCTTGAATTATTGTGTCCATAATCTCACGAAAATAGGGTTTTGGTTAATTTTTTTTTTTATACCCTTGGAACCTAAATTTGGAATATACTAATATTCAAAAGAAATTACCTTCGATTAGTGACAAGAATAAAGTTATTGGATTGTCCAAACTTCATATACCTTAAACAATGTAAATTTATATTTTTCGACAATTATACATAAAAAACATGACGAGCAATCGCTCTTACATCTTCATATTGAATAATAATATTCATTTCTAAGAACTCATTTACTATATTCCAATGAATTGAAATAGATCAAAGATAAAAATAAACATATCAAGTCCAGGAATGTAATTGCTTTACTGCATTATTCAAATCGTGGATAATGAAAGGTTTATTTTTACTATAAAAATATTTCTTTACTTGACCTCAAACTACAACTTCAATAATATTGGTTTTATTGAATTACCCGTTCAAACAAAAATTCAAATGGGACAATGACGATAAAAGGGTTAGCATTGATCGGAGGTGAGGCAATTCTACCAAATAGGTACTATAACAACAAGATTAACGCTATGTAAAATTTATTTTACACTCTCCTGATCAATGTAAAATTTTCTATTTTTTGCGCTGTGTGTGCATGAAATTAAGCAAATTGACAGCCTATGTTAGTGTGTTATGAATTATGCATTTTTTTTCTTGTTTGCTTACAAGATGTTTTTGCACAGCTAATATGTCCCTCGATAATATTGCTGAGTCACTACTCTTAAAAGAGAAAAATTAAAGTGAATCGCCGCTTCCCTTCAACAAAAATGAAAAAAACTTCATTTACATACGAAGTAGAGAAAAAACAGCGGCTGTCTGTCACCTTTTGTTCCAATGAATACTCTGCCTCCGCCCCTGCTCAGAAGGGGGACATAATGGCTAGAATATAAGATGAACCTACCTGTTGGATATTGTGAAGATTTTGTCCATTCTTTATTATATTACAGGCTTTGGTGGGTTCCATTTTTGAATTTTGGGCAATAATCGAAAGGTTGAAGGTCCTTAGGAATGGCACGGGTGTCCATTTTATATTATTTTTTGAGTTTGGTTTGTATTAAAAATTGTCTCTCTCATTGTTAAGACATTTTAGAACACAAATATCCTAGCCATACAAATGTTGAAAAGGTCACAGTCGCTTGTACAAAAAAAAAAAGAGAGAGAGTGAAAAGGTGTTTAGGAGTGGCACTCGCACAACGAAAATTCTTATTAGTAACACACAAATTAGCATTGCTAGAATTTCGTTCGAACGTGAGGAGAACTATTGAAATCCATCAAATAATGGAAAAACACTAAAATATTATTTATCAAAAAATGAATGTAATTTTTAAACCCTTAACACATATCGACATGCACAAGAAAGGATGTCAGTGGGCGCGAGTGTTCATGTGCGGCTAGACTTGCTTTTAGAAGAGTTGTGATCCTGTGCGAGTTGCTCACCAGCTCACGTAGCGAGCCGACAAAATGGATAGGCCATTTGATGTTGCTTTTGCAGCTTATAGTGCTGTTGCCATCAAATCCTTGTTTCCGTCTCTGCCGAGGATTATCATAATTATTCAAACGACAAATTTCTAACTGATAAATTTGTTCTTGATTTGAACCAATAGTATCAAATTGCAAAGGTAAAAAAACGGTGAATGGAGGTGGTTGTGGAGGCACGCCACCTATATTAGAGGGGACAAGTTTAAGAGGAAAACGGCTATGGTGGACGGTAACAAGGTCGATGAATGGACTATATGTAGTAGACATGCTCCGATAGACGCTGAGACGCGCTTCGAGTTGTATAAAAGAATTGAAAACCATTGTCGTGTGACAAGCGAATTATAAAGAGTACACAAATTAATTTTATTTATTTTACCATATCATACAGTATGGTGCATGTAGAGATGACAATGAGGCGGATTCGGGGTGGGGCACCCCCTCCCCGCCACTCCCCCACCTTAGACGGGGCGGGGCACGGGCTTGCCCAGTTTCCTGCCCCGTTTATATATATATATTTTTAAAAACTTCCAATTAACTATTTTTTGTTTTTAATTTGTAGTTAATTATTTTTTTATCCTTCACGGGATTGGTTCGAGGTGGGGCACCCCCTCCCCGCCCCGCCCCGCCAACCCGTAGGGGCAGGGCAGCTCCGAGGCAGGGTGGGACAGGTTTTTTTGCCATCACTAGGTGCATGGTTTAAAATTTATCGATTTTGCTAGTGGTACATCACTATGTACATATGGGTGTACACCCCCTCATATGGGGTGGGATCTGCTTGAATAAAAATATTTTTTTATTCAAGCGGATCTCACTCCCATATGAGGGGGTGTACACCCTTATGTACAAGAAGAACTATTCAAAATTTAATAGAACTTTCTTAACCTTGCAAACTAGAACTATAAACAATTTACAGCTTGAAATTCCAAAAAATTAACATTTGGTGCATTTTCAAGTAATTGTCCACATCTAAATACCTCAGAAAAGGCATTCATAGTTTACACAATCCCAAATTTCTACACTTTAAAAAGAGCAAACTTATAGATACTTGATTTTTCGGCCTTCGTTAGATAATTGTGACAGGCGGGAACAAAATGATGAAGCGAAACCCCGATGAAAAGATACCGAGGGCCTTGATAGTTTCTGGAGCACAGAAATTCCGACTAGAGAAATAATCAATGACTGATTGCTGACTACCTTACCCGTTAGCAGTTTAGTTTTCAAATTCGAATCCGAGTGTCATCCTCCAAAGCAGATTTTCTAACCCCTCAGTGTGCCTGTGACTCGAGCAGGATGTTAGTAGCAGCATTGACATCGTTTCCGGCACGAATGAGTGCTTGTCTCGCTGAGTTCCTCTCGAAACCCATAGAAACCAGTGTAGCAATGGAGTCTTCAGGCGGATTGATTGTGGATGATGATCGAGCAGAATAGTTCCCCTGAAGCCCAAGGAGGAGGAAGATTTTTGAAAGCCACCAAGAAGAGCTCATAAAGGCCACAGAAATAAAGAAATAACTGTACTAATAACTAAATTTAACACTATCCTCAACATACGCATGTTTAAAGAATAGAAACAGTAGTTTGCACCACAGGATGGGACTGGACAGATTAAACAACAATATTTTAACTTGGATTTTTTAATTTAGTACTATCTAATACTACGCAATTCTCATTAAC